CGCAGCTCTTTGACCGGCAGTTCTACAGCGAGATCCTGGACGCCACGCTGACCATCACCGTCACCATGCGGACGCTGGACCTCATCGACGAGGCCTATGGCTTTGACTTCTACATCCTCAAGGTGCAGCCCCATGCTGGCAGGGCTGGCCGTGCAGCGGGCCTGCCCCCACGCTGCCCTGGCTCGGGGGCTGGGCGGCCACTTCATATGTGGTGGTGCGGGTCTGAGGCTTCGAGGCTTTAATACCGCCTCGAGGGGAGCCTTTGGTGTTAAAGATCAGAACTGTCATCAAATGAGCTCCAGGACTAATCCAAGGGATCTTCCCCCGTTCATAACATCTGTCCTGAGAGCCCCTGCAGGGTGTGGATAAACTGCCAGTGTTGTCTACGTGCTGATAGACCTGCTCCCTCTCTGGCAGCTGGTCTCTCGGTGCGGTGTAACATCAGATTTTATTTCTCCAGACTCCAAAAGCCGATATGTGCTCGAAGCTCGGCATGGATTTAAAGCGAACGATGCTGTTGCGACTTGCACGGCGGGATCCTAAACTGCATCCTGATGATCCAGCCAGAAGAGAGGCGATCTATAATAAGTACCAGGTGGGTGCCTGATCTGCAGGTCCTGCCCTGCTGTTGGCAGTAGTGCTGATAATGCCCTAATTACCCTGTTACAGCACAAACCAGTGTTAGTGCTCCTGCATTTAGGGTTAAGGGTACAGGCAGAGAAGATCTAAACATCGTTTGTCAGGTTTTTCTTGTCTGTCTGTGGGTTGTTAATTTCTGGTAATTTAGGAAGACAAAAGCCTGTGGTTTTTCTGTGATCGAGGTCAGGGAGGGTCTGCCACAAGCGCTGGTGGGAGCTGGCACTGCCGGCAGCGGCGACAGTTTGTACTGATGCTGCAGTGAGGAGCTCAGACTGCCTGTGTGCGGTTTAGTTTTGTGCAGCTGGTGGTGGTTGCCAGCATAGAAACACCACCAGGACCCACAGTCCCTGGAGCTGTGTGGAGAAACAGCCCCAGCGCTACGCAAAGGAGAGGCACAGCAGTGAACACGACTGACAGAGAAAGCAGGACCCTTGCAAGGGGAAAGGGGGGGAGGGGAAGTGGATTTTAGTTGCCAGAAACAAGGGAACAGTGTTCTAAGATTTGTCTGTAGTAACGTTCCGACTAGCTCGCATATTTGTGCGAGTTGGATTTGCATCTTAGTCACTTGGCAAGACTGTATCACGTGCAGTATTCCTTTTATCACAGGAATTTGCGATCCCAGAAGAGGAAGCTGAATGGGTTGGCTTGAGTTTAGAAGAAGCAATAGAGAAACAGAGGCTCCTAGAAAAAAAGGTGAGTTCCCGAGGGGATGCTTAGCACCCAGGTGTCTTGGCCCCATCAGGCTGCATGTCCAGCTGATCTGGGCAGCCTGAGCACTCCTGAGCGGTGGAAGTGGTGCTCCAAAATTCCTGAACAGCTCTATGAACCCAGTCAAATTTGGGTGCTCAAAACATGAGGCTGGGTTACAGTGCATCGTAAACCACATCCTCTGATCAGAGGAGAGATGTTTAGGGGGATGGCTCATAACTCCTGCCCTATTGTGTGAACATCTTTGCCTTTGGTTGCTGTCTGCTGTACTTGTGCTCTGGGACACGTGGATACAAGCTCAGGGCTCGCTGGGTTTGTGACCCTCTGTCGCTGCAGCTCGCTTGTTAGGAGCAACGTGTAGAGGAGGGTGCACCAGAGAGCTGCTGGGGCAACAGGGCTTCCTGGGGCGCTGGGTTCTCTTGATGATGTTTCCCCCAGACCTGTTGTCTCCTGTTGAGCTGCAGCAGGAAAAGCACTGACTGCATGAGGCAGTGCTGGGCCCTGAACCCTGCAGGGCTCCGTCTTCTGCAAGGGCTATGTTCTCCCAAGGTGCTTCAGTACAGCTCTGGTTTAGGGCAACAGAAGGAGGCAGGGATTTTTGGAAGGGATCCCTGGGAGATACTGATGATTCTCATCTGCAGACAGAACTGGGAAAGTTGATGAATGTCCCACACAGGTGTCTGTCGTGTTTGAGGGAAGGTTGTAGAACCGAGCAGCAGCTGTGTCTGGAGGAGTCGCATAGCAGGTTGTCTTGTTCAGCCACTGAAAAAAAAATGGTCCATCTTCTTCTGGTTTTAACTGTTCACACTCCTGCAGCACTGCCTCCATGGGCTCACTGTTATTCTTCACCCCTTGCTGCTGCTCAGGTTCACTCCTTGTAAGTGGTGTATTCTCTGCTTTGTTTCAGGACCCTGTCCCACTCTTTAAGGTGTACGCTGAAGAGCTTGTCAACCAACTGAAAGAACAAGCACCGCAGCAACAGCAGTAGGAAATAAACCTTTGGAGGAAAACCCCTGCTGCAGATGAAGCTGTGGGGTTCAGTGAGTCTTCTGTCTGAAGCACGTTGTGTGGAAGAGGCCACATGAAGAGCATGCCTAGGAGGATGTTGCGGTTATCAAAGTCTGATGACGGCCTAAATTCAGGGAGGAACTGTTCCTGTGGGCTGAGGAAAGAATTTCTGTCCTGTGGCCTCTGAGGGTGTTCTTGTAAGACTGACTTAATGTGATTGTTCTGCCTGTACCAGTAGTTGGCTGCTGTTGAGAGCTTGATCACAATGTAAAATGAAACATCCCTTTTAGGAGTATGAGTAAACTTTTCTCTAATACTTGTTGCTCATTAACAAGTTGTAGTGGGGACTGTGAGACACGGTGGCATAGCTTAGCTCAGTCGCCAGCCTTCTGTGACAGAGGCAATTGTGCCCCAAAATCGTGCCCCCAAGCCCCTGCCTGAAGCGGTGCCTGCCAGCAGGTGGGGCCGCGGCCACTGGCCCTACATCTCACTCTAACCCCTTGGGTGCCAGCGCTGTTTCTCCCTGGGGTTGGTGATTTTTAAATCTTTTCTTTTGTAAAAATGTAGTTGAAGGGGGTGTTCAAGCCTCCTGGCTGCCAACAAGGGACTGAAAAGCACTTACCAGAATTACATGCTGGTGAACAGCCCCTGCAGTGGGTTTCTGGCTGGAGAAAAAGCAGCCTCTCCTGGGACAAGCACAGAGCTTGCAGGTTGGACCTCGTGTGAGCTGTATCTCTGGGTTGTTGCCCCAGGAAGAGGGACTTTGCCTTAACCTCACCTTGAGAGAGAGATGCTCCCCCTCTCTAGCACATAAGGGCAAGTGCGTGGTCTCAGTTTCTGAGCCCCAGGACCCATGAGAAGAGAGACAATGGGCTTGTAGAGCAGTGTGTGGCTGGTCCCCTCTGCACCGGAATGGAGTAGGATCACAGGGGAGCAGAAATTCACAGTGCCTGAACATCTCCCTTAAAGATTCGGGGGAGAGGGACTGTGGAGGAGGCTGCTGGGCAGACACAGCTCTGCAGGGCTGTGCTGGGGATGAGGGAGGTGATTGAGGTGAACTGACCTGAAGGGTGATGTTTTGTGGAGACCAGACTTTGCTGCTGCTTTTTGGGCCAGGGAATGAGTTGGAGCCCTCACAAGGGGTATTGGAGCCCCCCAGGTGAGTGTGGCACAGCTGTATAGCCCCTGGCTGGTTGGTCAGGGGCTGCCAGAGTGGGGCTGTGCTGCCTCTGCACAGGGACAAGTCGGGTGGCAAAAGCTGGAACGTTCCCAGCCTGCCTGTATGTCTCAGCTCAGCAAGTCCAGGTTCTCAAGAGCAAACTGGCACAGAAGGTCGCATTTGCCTAATTAATGATTTTGTAGCTAGGCCAGCACAATGACATTTGCTTATCTTCTCCCTCTTCTGCAACTGAGCTGAGCGGGAAGCTGCTGCCCAGCTCCTCGGAGACCCTGACACTCTGCCCTCGTTAGAGATAATTAGCTGGGATGAGCTCCGTGTTTGACAGCTCTGCTCATCATTAGGGCTAGCATGGCTCATGCATTTTAATGCAGCTCTGAGCAAAGCTCCAGATTGTGGCTCTGTCCCGGCCCCTTCCGTAGCTTTACTGGAACGTGCCGGTGCGGATCTGGCCTCGGGCCGATGCAGCTACAGCAGTGTGGTGCCTGTGCGGGTCCCTTAGCACCTCACAGCTGCTCAGGGGTGAGGGGGCTCTTTGGGGTGGCTGAGTGGGCAGTTGTCAGCTCCTTCTCTGTACTTGGGGCTGGTGGCTTTTTAGTTATGCAAAATTATCTTCCAGTTGTGCGGTGCCGTACCTCCCCGGGAGAGCTCTGGCTGTACGTCCTCCCCAGCTGCACTGCTGGTGTTCTCTGCCCTTGAAGTGGGCTCCGTTCTTCAGCGCTGCTCATCTTGTGTCTGTTCTGCGGGATCCCACCTTGGGAAGGTTTGGGGTTTGGTGGGTGACGAGGGGTAGCGGGAGCTTTCGGCCAGACCTGGGGGAGAGCTCCTGTCCCGCTGGCAGTGGGGTGCTAATGGGGGCACTGCAAGGGCGCGATAGGAGCTGCAGGAGCTTCTCCATGGGGAGGCTGTCGGGAATGTGATTAATGCTGACTTCTGAGTTGGAGCCCTCTGTTATCTCATCCTGCGTTCACCGTGAAACCCTGCCCTTGCTCCTTTCCCAAAAATGTGGCCAGGAGCTTCCCCCCGTGGACGTACTCTTGTGGAGATAACTCTCCTGACCAGGAAAGCTGGAAACTGCTCGTGGACCAGAGATACTGCAGGTTCAGGGAAAGCAAACTCTCTGTTGCACAGCCACGACCCCGCAGGGCCGGCTCGTCCTCCGGCTGGGCAGAGTAGCAAATGTCTTGGGGTAGGGAGGGAGCCCCTGTGCAGCACTGGGGTAGTTTGGGCAGCGATACCCCCAGCCAGGTTACCCTGAGGAGGGGGAGGAATAGCTCAGGAGCCAGTGTTAGACCTGTCCTGGGTTTATGCCTGGTTTTATGCAGCTCTAACCATGGATGGAGAGCTCGATTCTGCGTGTGTGGTGGTTTTTATCTGTTGAGGTGGGCTCAGTCTGGCAGCTATCGGGTTCCTTCACTACCTGAACAGGGGGGATTAGAGGAGCTGGGGGGTTGCCATGGCAGCGCCTTCCCCGGGCG